TCATTCTTTCCTCTCGCACACTGAATAGCTTTGATAGGACGATACATTTCATCCTCCACTCTCACTTAGACAGACAACAAAAAATGGGGATGTTCTCCCTAATATACGTGAATGTATTTATGTATCTATATATATATATATATATATAAAAACCTGTATGTACTTACGTATGTTTAACGAAACACGACAACGATGATGAAGACGATCATGATGATGACAAAGACCTGAATATGTCCTCTTCCTATGATTTCCCTCCTCAAAAACGGAATGCCTATTCATTCAATTCAATCAATCAATCAATCAGTCAGCAATTCATCCTACTGTTCATTTCAATCATTTTCTCAGCAATCTCTTCACAACTAAAACAAACCTACGGATACAAACACACACACACACACACTCTACAGTCCCCAAACCACGGGCATTGGCTGGTTCTCACAGCTTATCCTCACCATTGTTCTTCTTCTCCGCCACATTAATCCTTCCCTCAATTGGAACTATCACGGCTCTTCTACCCACAGCACACAATCCCATGCAAATGATCCGTTCAACCAATGACTTATCAGCACATTCACCGAACAACTCAAATATGTCGCCACCTCCATCACCCACTCCGTCCCAGTTTCCCAGAATTTGACATATTACACTCGGTGGTCTACTCAACACACACCCACACGCGAGCTCGCACGCACGCACACACACACACACACACACACACACACACACCCATACACCCACCTTTATCATGGGTTGTTGGGAGCAATTCGAAAAAGAATGTTATGTAAAGGGACTTGGTTATTCTGTGTATGCGTGTGTGTGTGTGTGTGTATCTTGGACAATGTCCGTATTTGTAGTTCAATAAATCGGTGTGTTTATTGATGAACAGGTCGTTCTCCATTTTTTACTCTCTCTCTCTCTCTCTCTCTCCGGAGATCAGCTGATCAGCCAACTTTCAGAATGATCAAATTCGATATAGGTATAAATCTGTTTCAAAGGCCGTATGGTGTGTGTGTGTGTGTGTATTGGTGGGTGGTGAGTAGTTATTCAGTATTGTGTGGATCTTGGTAACGGGAACGGTACGGAGAAATCAAATTATGGTGACACAAGGGGTGAACCGTCAATATATCAAACAAACAATAGCGGTTTGTTAGAGTAGAAAAGGCCTTGACTGAAAAGCTGGGATGCAATCACTAGGGTATGATTTCAATCTGGTTGTGGACCATCAACCCCGTTTCTACATCAATCGATTGGGCATTTCGTTTCGAGAAGAACCGATCGCAGTAGACAGCTTTGCTGTCGTCCGGTTCACTACCACACCTAACCTATCGGGGCCTTATGTGGTTCACCACTCCACGTCCCGGGGCTTTGGTTACCGATTTCCATCGCTGAACAGCAAGTCCTCATTTGCTGTTCATCACACGAAAGTGTGTAATAAAAATGTGCACAAAACATGGCAAATTAACGAACTCCCATGGGGTAATATCCACAAAACCGAAACCACATTGCACAGACTCCGATCTGAATTAATTGGCATGAACCATACACGAAGATGTTTGAATATGCAGCACGAGATTCTATTGGTTAATTCAGTGGGTGTAAACAGCCTTCATCATCTTAGTTCATTTTATTTGGTCTTCCTAAATGCGATTTGATTGAGGAATGAAAAAACATTAGAATATTGATTTTGGTTCACTGGATTTCTTTGGAACAAATGTCAGAGCATGTGTTCCGATATTGCTCACATACATGCCCGATCATGATCGCCAACATGAAGTGGAACGCCCTTCGGTGTAGCAGATTTCACACATGTCGCGCCATTACAATAGCCTCGGAATGCAGATAACTCCACAAGTATTTTCACCAGCTAACTAATATCAAATGTAATGACTTTCGGTTGACATGATAAGGAGGGGGGGGGGCAGGCACATGCCGAAGCGACTACTCAAATCTATTGGGGTGCAACAATCGTAAGTGGGTGTGGTCGTATTTCCTGAAAAAAGACGTAAAAATCGGGTTTAAATCGACTCTCCGCTCATATAATCCAAACAAAATTTCAAACTGTGGCTATGATAGCATTTCTCTGATAACCCTAACATGTTTTGAGGAAAGCTACACAAATTACACATCGGATTAGATAGATATCAAGAGATCGCTTTTAAACCAAAGATCTCGCCCTCGTTCTGTCTTATTTTCGTATCTCACACAGTCAATCAACCTCAAAATTCATCCACTTCAGTCACCTTACTCTTTCACGAAACAACTTGTCCACTCACCCACCCACTCACCATTCATTCCCTTTTCCCTCAAATAGCCAAACGCTTCTGATCTTTATTCTGCCAAATGATTTGTGCTCAAATTGCTACATTTACTGGACTGGATGTGCATCGGCCGGTGAACGTAGCGCAAGTCGATTACACTTGGTGCTTTCAAATTATGGCGTAAAAATCCATTATCAGACTGTAACTATTAGGCTACGAGGCCCGATTAGTCTAAATCGGGTGGGGGAAAACCGGTATGAACTAATATGCAAGTGCTACTTGGATGGCCAGTGGGTTAGTTTTATTGTGTCCGCATGCTCTCTCTCTCTCTCTATACGGTTGAATAGTTGACCGTTTCCCGACTCATGTAGCTGTGGCTGTATTCGTGTGTGTGTCCATGTGAATAACTACCAGTTTGTCTCATGCAGGGTTCACAGTCCAATCCAAGCCTGGTCAATAGGGCCGGCAATTAAGTAGCTCCTGTTATGTGCTAGAGAAAAGTGGTACACCCCTGCAATTCTCTTCCCCCCCCCCCCACGCTCACCAAACTGCTCTCCACATCATCACCGTTCATCCGCCCACCCATCCAACCAGCCTATCTGAACTGCACGTGCCCACTACTCTTATCCTAAAACACACTACAGCAGGTAGGAGGTGATCAGCTGGTTGGTTGGTCTTCCACTTGTGTTTAGCGTTTATGTGACACGTTCTCTAATGGGCACTAATGCATGCCTATGCGGGGTCACCCACCTATATAATAGCATGGATAGAGGAGCAGTGGGGTGGGAGAGGGGAACACAAACTTCATCGTTGCCATCACCACTACCACCACCATCGTTGCCGCCACAGGCTTCGCGTAAAAGCAATGCAACAAGGACTGGTCTAGCTATAGTCAGTCAATGAATGAGAGAGAGAGAGAGT